GGGCCCCTACTCTAAAAACTTCTACATCCATTAAGATTAGCTGTCCTTTCTCATCTTTCTTCATCTTGGCTCAGACAGGCATTCTCTCCTTCAACTCTACCACGTCTGTGAGGGAAGTGTCTAGAGGGACTCTAACACAAGCAGTCTCTGGACAACTATCTAGACAACGGCCAGCAACCTCTGCCATAGACACGTGGTTTGGGAGTTTCTCTGTGGTGCGCGCAGTCTTCTCCACATGGTCTAGGGATAGGGGCAGTTGCAACCCCTACCGGCGGTTGCCTTTTGCTGCCTGTGCAACGAACTGGGCTTCTGTATATTTAGGGCAGTACTTTATGATACGGCCCGGATCACCGCAATAAATGCACTGATCCTGGTCTATTCGCCTTTGCCACACAGTCTGTTCCTAGCCCAGATCTTCCAAAGGCCTGCCTTGTGGCAGACCAGGGTGCCATCCACCCCTCCGAGAAGTTGACCGATTAAAACGAGAGCGGTTTTGCGGTGGACCTTGACCCCTACCTCCCACTTGGGGGCCTCCTCTTCCACCAACCCCCTGATCCCTCTGTCCTTGATCACCGAAGGCCCGACCCCCTTGGCCCCGGTCTCCTCCTCTTCCTTGCTGCCTTCCTCGAGCCGCGACAACAGCGTAAGTCCTACCCTGACTATTGCCACTGTCATCCTCCTTCAGGCCCCACTCTATCTGTGTACAAGGGACCTGTTCCATACCACCTTCATCTAAAGTCAGGATCAAGTGATCTTTGGCCTTTACTTGGCTAGAAATTGTACGACCTTTCCACTTCTTGCCCTTGTCAAAGTTGTTATGCCAGAAAGTGGAAATTGGCATGGACCGTGCTTCAAATGCTACCACTTCCCTACTCAGAGTATCATAGGTCATGGTAGACTCCTGACTCTTCTCAAAGAAGTGCGCGCGCAAGGGCTCGGGCATGGCACGATAGAATAGATTGACCAATTGAGTCTCGGTGACCTCATGGCCAGGAACGGAGATCAACTCATCCATAACGCCCTTGAGTGCCCTAACACTCCTCCATTGGCGAGAATGGATGGTTTCCAGTTTGTCAGAAGCTCTGCAAACCTCTCACGGAATAACTTAAAGAAGTCACTGAGGGGGGTGATCAAGGAATAGGCAACCATATCATTATCGCATTTAGCAGCGCGGCAGAGCGATCTAGCGAAGCTAGCTGCCTTGTCTTTGAGAGCATGGAAAGCGATGAGGACTTGTTCCTTGGGAGCTATCTTCTGGAGATGTACGTAGGAGTTCACATTCACCTCCCAATTATCAAAGTTCTCTTCCTTCTTCCCACTATAAGAGTCAGTGAACTTTACCTTGACTGGCTCTCTACGGGGATGAGCTTCCTCCTCCCTTGGAGCACCAAGCTTTGCGCCTTTTATGTCGCCCGTACAGAATCACTCTGTGTTTTCTAGCCTCGCCTTTACTTCCGAGCCCACGTTTATCAACATCTCACGTGCGAACTCTCTAAATCCCAATCGTATTGATTGCAAGGCTTCATCCTGGCTCTTAAAAGCGAACTCATACTGCTCATCCCAAGCTTTAGCCAGGAGTTTGATAGTCCTCGACATCACCTCCATCGTCCCTTGTATGTCCGCTTGCGCCTCCATCTGCGCCCTTTGCTCGTTTATAGCCTCCAACTCTCTCGCCGTCTTGCTGGCCTCTTCTATCCTCTTCTTCTTTTCCCTGGTCAGACACAACTTCCATTCTAACTTCTTTTCCTATTCTATCGTCTGACGCTTGAGCGGACCTTCTTCGGCTTCCAACTCTCTTATAGTCGCCTCCTGTTCTTCCCTGGGGACATACAACATCGCCGTCGATCTTCTTCGGCTTCCAACGCTCTTATAGTCGCCTCCTGTTCTTCCCTGGGGACATACAACATCGCCGCCTCCTCTTCTCCCAAGGATAGATTGGCAACCCATTCAGACACCTTCCTTTCCAACCACGGGTCCCCCTCCTTCTTCGTGCCACTGGATTCCCCGCGGTCCTTGAAACTCTTTCTGAACAGGGGAACTTCCTCTTCTGCCTTTTTCTCTTCTTCTTCTTCTTCTGCCTCCCTTGCTTTCAACCTTTCTTCGTCCTCCTTCAACCTTTCCAGCTCTTCCTCCAACTTCTTTTTCTTCGCGGCTTGCTCCTCCAACAAAGCCAACTTCTTGGCCTGCTTCACTACTTTCCTCTTCTCTTTCCTGGCCTTCGGCCAGGATTTTGGCGGCCTCTTCCTCCTGCTCCTTCGTGTAGGGAGTGGTACTAGCACCACCCCTCGTGTCAACTTTGCACGTGAAGGCATTCCAAAAGCCTGATGGAAAGAGGAGACGCCAGGGGGTCCCCCATAAGGAGAACCCCACGAGCAAGCCCTACATCGGGTAGTCATCCGTGGTGTTAGGTGCACGACAAAGCTGTCCCACTCCTCACCACTTAGACCTACCCACTCGACTGACTGACTGAATGTCTAAGGACCATAGAGCCTTACGCTTTGATCCAGCCAGGTTACCACGGCCGACGAAAGCTTTCACCACCACTGTCCTTTACAATCCAGACCCAGATGCCTAGCACCTGCGGTCAATCCCAGCTGACTTTCTCTCCGGTTCAGAACCCTGTCAACTAGGTCACTAGCCTAGACCTACTTCTAAGCTGTCGCTACAGGACTTCAGCGCTGATCAGGAGGCATTTAAGGAGATCCCCCATAACTCAGGAATTGTTTAACGTCGCAAACAGGACAACAAGATCTGCAAGTCCTCTCAACACTTAGACAGCTGGTTGTGCAGCCCACAGCTCGGATTTTGGGCCACCCATGCCACACTGTTCAGCCCGCCGGCCTGTACTGGTCCGTGGGAGGGTTTGTCCTCCGGAACATGTGAGTCCTCAGACACGGAATTAAGCCCTACGCAGCCCGTGTGGGTTTGGTTAATGCAGCTCTACGACCTCATACACGGAGTTCCTATCACCTGGACAGAAGAGACTCAATGCAGAAAGAAGAGACAGACAGACTCAGCAAGTAGCATGGGGTGAGTGCACATCCATAGGGCGAGGGGATAGGCTGAAGGCTTGACTCCAGCTTGGTCAATTTCATGGTTAACAGCTCCGGTCAATTCCTTGGTCAACGCTGGTCAACCTCCCGGTCAGCACCTTGGTCAATGCCATTCAACCCCTTAGTCAGCACCCCGCTCATCCCCCGGTAACTCTCAGTCAACTCCCGGTCAACTCTCAGTCAACTCCCGGTCAACACCTTGGTCAACCCGGTCAACTCGGCTATGGCTGCCGACCCCTTGTCTCCCTTCAACTTTCACTTCGCCTTCTCCCTCCTTCCTTCTTTCTCACTTTCTTTCTTCTTAACCCGGGCTATGTCTTCTCTCTCAGCCTTTTTCTCTCCCTCCTCCCTTACTCGTCTTCCTTCTTCTACCTCCGTGTCCGAGCTCGGCAGCTATGACCGCTACCTTCTTCCTTGGGCCGCACAACAATCTTGTATCGCTCCTCTCTCTCTCTCTCTCTCTCTCTCTCTCTCTCTCTCTCTCTCTCTCTCTCTCTCTCTCTCTCTCTCTTCGTCGTTGTCTTCTTTACAGGTTCGTGGCACCTCACTTCAGTGACCTCCTCCTTCGATGGCGCAGATTCGGTTAGGGCACCCAACTGTCAACAACGGCGATGTCGCGTGGAGTAACGGAAACCAGCTCCGATACCAGTGCAATCAGACTCGCTTTCTTCTTCACTTCGCATGCATGCATACAGATGGCGATTCACACTGGCGCCAAGCGCCCACTCAAAGCTCAGAGGTATGGAAACCGAGAACACAGTTCAGATGGAAACTCGCTTCAACAGGCTATGGCGCATCAACGGCTGTACATCCCAACTCTTGACACAGTGTCCAACACCACTGTTCGCACACACTCAACTCTGGATCACCCTGAATACCGCACACACGCTCACTGCGTCACACACACACACACACACTAACACCTAACCCGAGCTATGGTGGCTATGGCCGCCGGCTACTACTAACTATGGCGCACTAACTGCTTCAAGCCCATTTGACCTCGGGCATCTGCAGACCGCCTCGCACAAGAAGCTCGGGTAGCGCTTCCGCATGGCTCACGCAGGAATGAGTGAATGGCTGGATGCTGCCTCTTGATTTATACTTCTGTAAGTCGCTGGTCTGCCATTTTCCACCGGGCCCATGGTGCACACAGTCCCTCATGGTACTTGCTGACTGTACAAAGTGAGACTGGGACTGGGTACCGCTGACTAAGCGAAGTTGGACTCGCCACTTGCCCACTTGCCTCTGGTCTGCTGTGTTTAACGTGAGAAGAAACTTGAAAGGCCACTTCCGAACCTTTCGGAAGTTTGCGGACTTGGCCTTTCAGGACTGTAGCAGCTACGACCTTGACCTTTCAGGACTGTAGCAGCTATGACCTTGACCTTTCAGGACTGTAGCAACTACGACCTTGACCTTTCAGGACTGTAGCAACTACGACCTTACCTTTCAGGACTACAACTATGACCTCTATGCAGGTGTGACCCCTACTTCGACAGGTCTAAGGTTCAAGACCCGACAACTACTCAGACCTACGACAGACAACTTTCAACTACTAACTCACACGTCACGGGTTCAAGACTCACAGGGTCGGCGCGATACTGTACACAGGCAAAGTAAAGTAAGGTGAGGTCTGGGGATCGAGCCCTGGGATCCGCATCTGTGTCTGCAAAAGGTGAAAACCGTTTCAGAATAGTTTTTAAATTTTAATACTTTTTATTCTTTAATTCAAAAAGAAGATTGAGATGTATGCAGTCAGCTCTGTTCCTTCTTGCAACCCTTCTGTCCCGCCCTTTGCTGTTTGTAACTTTGTGTTCGATTATTGTCTGCAATTGATGATGATACTTGGAGTCGCAATTCATTCACTCACAAGTTCAAAATTCATGGTGCCTGTTGGACTGCTACTCACGCATTTTCTCTGTCGATGTTTCTGACTGATCCGTCTGGCAGTTTGGAAGCATAAGTTGGCCGATCGGGATGTGATCGACGAGCTCGCCATTGCATCACAAGGAAGATGTATGTATGTTTCCCTAATCCCCCCCTCCCCTTTTTTTTGTCCCGTGTATCTGTGCCTATGTGCTGTTTTTTTCCCCCTGCTTGTTGTCATGGTCGTCATCGTCCTCATCTGTTTGCTGTTGCTACTGCTGCCTCTATGGCTGGGATTTCCTCCTCCGAAAGCATATGTGTGCAAGTCAGACGGCTGTTAGGCCACCTATTGTATTTCTATTTGTGTGCTTTTAAAACTGTGCTCGAGGGAGTGATTGCGTGATTGCTATGTCTTGCCATGTTGCTCTTGCACTGGACGCTTTCTGGTATCTCATCTATGGGCTGTAGCTGATGGGTAAGCATTATACTATCACGTGGTCTACGGCTGTCTTTTTGATATATTGAGCTCAGTGTGTGAAAGCAGGTGTTAAAGCTGCTGTAATAAACTCAGTTCATAGACATACAGCCGCGGGCTAGGGTCGTCACTCTCAGTCAAAGGCCAGAAACAAGGGTCAAAAATCACGCCCCAAGTGTGAAAAGTGTTTGTGAGAGGGCCCAAGGTCACGGGGTATCAAGGCGTGAGTCAAAAACAGCGGCCAGAGGCCCCACGGGAGTTTGTTGACTTTTGGAAGATCAAGAGTCAGACCCAGCACGGGAAAGGCAGGTCCAAAGTCAAAGTCAAACCTGTAGTCAGCCTCGGCCATAGATCAGATGCACATTGATGGTTGTCTGCAGGTATCCAGAAGATTCCGGTCCCGGCTGGGGGAAGGTACCAATGCTTCAACGCTGCATCCTGGCCGTCAAGGTCTGGCAAATTTGAAGCGTCGACACAGTCGAACGGGACACTGGTCCACCCCAGTCAATGCCAGTCAATGCTACATAAGGTCGGCCAGACCACTGGGAAGGCATTCTGCCTTGCGCTGGCTTGATGCGAGTGCCGCTACGCGAGGCTGCTGGAGTGTGATGCTGGCGCCAGATGCTGCTGGAGGGCTCCACCCTAGAGTGTGGTTATGTTGGTGCAGCCGTAGCCGCCATAGCTATAGACTAGGTGATGAGGATTGGCGAGGAGGAGGAGGATCAGAGCTGTGCGAATGGTGTGATCTGCTGCTAGTCTCCACAAAGGTGAGGAAGTGCTGCCCCATTGTCCGCATCTTGTTGTTGACATGGAAGGAGGATGGGCGCAGTGGAATGATCTGCACAGTGATTATGGCAGAGGGGAACATGCATTGCTGAGGGAGCCGTAGGGGAGAAGCCGGAAGTGGAAGTGGGCAAGGAGAGAGACATACATGTATTAGCGATTACTATTGGGTCTCTCCTCCTCCTCGTCTCTGTCTTCGCTCTCCACGTTCTCTTTCTCTCATGCTCTTCTAGGATGAGACGATGCTTCGGAGTTGTGCATATAATCGAGACATGGACTTGTAATTGACTTTCAGGGCTTCATGTTGTGCGCTGGGTTCGAACTTGTATTGCATTGATGACTGGCTTCTCAATGAGACTGGGTTTATTACACTGCTCTGTAAGTGATGTTATTTGGAGCAAATCATTGGTGATGGAATGGATAGGAGAAAAGCCACTCACCTGCCTTGTGCCTGAATTGTACACACATGTAACTGTTATTACAGAGGTCAAGCATTCAAACCTTGCATGGTACAACCAGGTCAAGGGATTATCCTCTTTCCTGTTTTTTTTGCCATTATTCCCGAAAAAGAAGAAATGCCATGGTTTTCTGCATTGAGATAAAGTGATTTATCCGAGGCATTGTTTTGCACGTCGCAGATCTATATTCATTATCTGGAGGAGGGACAATGTTGAGGGCCTGGAGTCTAGTGGAGGGTTCGTTGGTGTGGGAGACTGCCCTGCGTTCACCAACACAAGCAGGGTCACTATCTCCATCTGCAGCAGACCCCCCTTGTCAAGGAGGCCTGGGTCTGACCATGCTTCCAGTGAGTTTCACTCCATAATCTCTCAACTCAGGCATACTGGTATAACATATGCCCTGCCTACCCCTCATGCCACCCCTTCCCTTCCTCCCTTTGTACTCTTGCCTGTTTGTCCTCCTGGCAGTCCCTTCTTCGTGCCTTCACCTACATCCTTTTGTCTTCTCCTGCCCTCCCTCCTGCCTCACCGTCCTACCTTCCACACATTCCCGTCTTCTCCTCCCAAGTTGCCCTGCTTTCCCTCCTGCATTCCCGTCTAGCCTACTCCTCCTACATTCTTCTCCAGGTCTCCTCTCGGGACTTTCCTCTAGCCTTCCCTCATGACCTTCCCTCCTTCCTTCGCCCTTTGCCATCTTTTACATTCCCTCCTGGAGGCTCTCTGGCCCTTGTGTCTTCTCGTCCTGCCTTGCCCTTCTTTTCCTCCGACACTGTCCTTTCCCTCCTGTCCTCCCATCTTGGCTTGTCCTCCTGTCTTCCTCTCCAGAAGGTCTCTTCTTGGGCTTTTCCCTCTAGCCCTCCTCCCTGGGCTTCCCCTCCCTTCCCCTATCAACCTTATTGTCCCGCCTTCTCTTCGACCCTCGTATGTTTCGAACTTCCTCTGACTTTTCCTCCTCTTCCCTTTCGCATTCCCCTCCTGTTCCACCACCCTATATGTGTCTTCATCCTGCCCTCTTGCCTGCCAGCGTTGCCTGGCCATCACAGGTTACAGTCGTCTTGTTTTCCATTGCAGAATTTTGTTGATTGGTGGGCATGTGCTGGAAAAGTGTGTGTTGAGAAGGCTTGCTATATCATCTTGAGGCTTTTTGTTTTCCGATAAGGTGCCCTCTTAGATCAACGACTTTCTTGTAATTTGGTTCTGGATGCGAATGGAACATGTTTAGTGCGTATTCACACTTGGGTGTGTACGCTATATTGAAGTTTCCCTTAAAAAAAATGGTTTCCGGAGCGTGATTTGAAAATATGAAATATAAGTTTATACAACATATTGAAAGGTGCAAGGATTGAGCCGCCGTAAGACCCTTTGTGGAAACGCTTCGTGGGCACACAGACAATCTGGGCATAGGCCCCCAGCAAGCCTTGCGCCCGCTCTTAAGTGAAGGCGGGCCTGCATAACTGCACGTGGCCTACTTTTGCCGTTTTTTGTATATGGGGTCTCAGACAGTTGCATAATGCCAGTTGGTTACGGAGCTACGAGAGCCTACCCTGGACCTTCCAGAAGCAACAGCTGCAGTGTACGGTTGAGCCCAGGGCTCAATTAGTTAAGGCACTGGGCACACACATTCAGAGGCCGACATGTCACGTAGTGGCCGCGGACCAATGAGGAAGCAGCTCCTTCGATACATAGATGCCATGGGCCAATGAGATTGCGCCAAACACTTGGAGCCTCGCGGCTACCTGGATGTGCCTAACTGCACGGGGCCCAGGCCAGTCTGAAACTGGGCCTGGGCGCAGACACTGGGGCCCGACTGGAAGCTACTGGAAACTTGCCCAGCCACGCCCAAGGCACAGCCAAGCAGGGCTCAGTTTCCTTAAAGGAAAGTGAGCACTCCAGCCAGGGTTTTTCTGGCCTGCCCAGGCATTGCGGCCACACTGCTGCTTTGTCGCGTGAGCACTGCTTAGCGCTGACAGGCTGGGGCGGATGCGGGCGCTTGGAGGTGAGAGGAAGCTGGGGTGGCAGCTGGCACGAGGTGGCAATAGCCAGGCTGCTTGCGCGCGTGTGGGTGATGGCGGTCTTCGGGTAGGAGGCGCATGCAGAGGGGAGACGGGGTGATGAGGCGAGGTGTGAGACACATACCAGGTGTATGCTGGCAGTCTGCATTGGTGTTGACGTCACTTTCATTGGTCTTCAACTTCGTTGTGTTCCTGTTGCATGAACGTAGATAGGATAGATAGGCTGAGAAGTGTAGGCTGGGCGCTGGGCGCCACCCAGTAGGAGCGACATTCGATACTATGTTGGTGTGGCCAGAGAGCGTCGGCATTGACATTTGAGTTCATTGTATTGCGCTTATTGGGATGGTATCTTGGTGCATTGTGCTCTCTGCTTGCCTACCTGGACTTCAGCGTGATTTTGCAATTTGGATTTCTGTCTATCGCTCTTGCTCGTATTCCTTGCAATTTGGTATCGGAGCTGGTCCGATATCGCCGTTACTGGCGCTGGTGTCTTTATTACTTGGTGCGCTGATGAAGCTTCTCCGCAGTGAGGATACATTGGCACTGGCTTGTCAGGCCACTCCCGGGTAGAGGGGAGCGTGGCTGGAAGGTTGTGGCGGCAGCGGATGTATGTGGAATGATGAGAGCATGCTGACATTGCATTTTGGCTGAGGTGGCACTGTGTTGCATCATGCTGGTACCTAGGCTATGACTGGTCATCGAAATGCACACCGGCTCAATTGGTGAGAAATCAGTGGTTGGTGGCTGCTATCTACACGTACGGTATTCCCTTACCTTATCTTCCCATCTCAATCTCTTCTTACCGTGGGGAAGGGAGTTCGACTTGAGAATCCTCTTCTCGGTCAGGAGTCATGAGCGCTTTACCTTGAGAGTCGACATTCTTCCTGGTGGCGCATCCCGCAGGAGAGGGCGGTGCCTCTGAGGGCCCTGGATGAAGCACAAGCACGGGTTCGGTCACCATGCCAACCCACGGGAGTAGAGCATGCAAGTTTTGATGCATTGTTCTTTGAACTCTTGCTGCACTGTAGAGGGAAGTGGGGTAAGTCAGCCTGGAGGGCATCAAGGTCTACCGGACCATTGTTAAAGATACTCCAGGGGGAACTGACTCGCACCATATGCGAGGATAAAAAATTAAAAATAGTACAGAACAGGCTGGCTCGCTCTGCATTCCCTGGGCACAGGGGTGGGCCGATGTGCACACAATAGACACCGCTGCTCGATGATGCAATCAGGACCGTCGGATACAGGGGAGGGAAGGTTCCAATTGATGCTTGCACACTATCATTATTATTTCCATTTCTGCATACATCTGCGCAAGTGATTTTTTATTTTGATTAGTTGACACCTGGCAGACAGCATTAGAGTAGAACTGTAGTAGTCTACCATTTCCAGTTCTTTTTTGTGCTTCTCTTTGAGAACTGATCGCTAGGGAAGTAGATCATTTGCTCAGTCTGTGTTTAGGTTGCTGACACCACTTGATCGGTAGTTGAGTGATTTGCCGAATATTTATTTGTTTTTATTTATTTTACATCACGGTCTGTAATCAGACGTGTCTTTTTCAACATCCAGCACGTGCGCAAACAGATGACGAGAAGTGATCCACACAAAACTCAGAGATAACGTGACTAAGAACACAGTTCAGATTCAAACTTGACTCGATCAGCAATGGCTGATCACTGTTCAGTCAGCCCCCCCCAAACAATCAAGTGGAGTATCTGATCTCTGGTCCATCGAGACAGTTTACAACAACAGAAAGCAAAGCGTCCGCGTCAGACGCGTGAGAAAGACTAGAGAGAGGAAGTGAGAGGGGGGGACAGAGACCCCAATCTAACCAACGACGCGCCC